TTTCCTCAAATGAAAAGAGACATGAAAGGAAAGCGTTTTGCTGATGTTGCTGAGGTGAAGGAAAAAACGACGGAGGCGCTGTCAAGCATCTCAAAAGATGAATTTAGACAATGTTTTGAAAAATGGAATAAAAGACTAGACAAGTGTATTGGTGTAAGTGGAGAGTACTTTGAAGGGGATTGAAGGTTTGTGCTTAAAATTTAAATAAATAAGTTAAAAAAAAAATAAGTTCGGTTTCTTTTGGATACCCACTCGTAAGTTATATTTAGCAGGAGTGCAGGAGGTCAGATAGGACGGAGATGGCATCTGTATGGGTGTGAAACTTGGTCTCTGACATTAAGGGAGGAACATAAACTGAGGGTGTTGAGAATATTTGGACTGAAGAGAAATGAAGTGACAGGAGGTTGGAGAAAACTATGCAATGAGGAGCTTCATGACTTGTACTATTCTCCAAGTATAATTAAATGATCAAGTCAAGGAGGATGAGGTGGGCAGGGCATGTAGCACGAATTGGGGAGATGAGGAATTTGTATAGGATATTGGTGGGAAAGCCAGAAAGAAAGAGACCACTGAGAAGACCAAGGCATAGGTGGGTGGACAATATTAAAATGGATCTTAGAGAGATAGGATGGGATGGTATGGATTTGATTGATCTGACTCGGAATAGGGACCAGTGGAGGGCTCTTGTGAATATGGTAATGAACCTTTGGGTTCCATAAAACGGTGGGAAATTCTTGACTAGCTGCAGACTTGGCCGCTCCTCCAGAAATGCTGAGCTCCATGAGTAAGATCTAAAATAGTTTTACCAAATGTTCACAGGAGGTAATAGCAATTGTATTATGAAAAACAGAAACCTTGACATTAGTAAGGAGGTTGGTTTAGAAGTAAATGCAGAGAAAACTAATTATATGTTGTTGTCTCATCACCAGAATTCAGGGCAAAATCACGACAAAGATAGCTAGGCAAGAGATCCTTTGAAAATGTGTGCCAGAGTATTTGAGAGTGACTGTAGCAAATCAAAATTTGATTGAGGAGAAAATTAAGAGATTGAATTTGGGCAATTCATTTAAGAACTGGGGTAGCATAGTCGGTATAGTGATTGGCTGTGGGCTGGATGACCAAGGGGTCAGAGTTTGAGTCCCAGCATGGTCAAGAATTTTCTCCACTTTGTGCAGATCGGCTTTGGGGTCCACCCAGCCTCCTATCCAATGGGTACCTGTGGGTCTCCCCTGGGGTAAAGTGGCTGGGGCTTGAAGCTGACCACTCACTAGTGCCAAGGATAAGAAAATATAGAGCTATGCATCCATTCCCCCATGTGCCTTAATAGTATAGTGCTTAATTAGTTAAGCACAGGGACAACTTTACCTTTTTTGCTACCATTTAATTGAGATCCTTTTGTTTTCTCATCTGCTGTCTAAAAACGTAAAGAGTAGAATATACAAAACTATAATTCTGCCTGTGGTTCTATATGGGCGTGAAAATTGGTCTCTACTATTAAGGCAGGAACATAGGCTGGAGTGTTTGGAGGGTGCTGAGGAGAATATTTGGACTGAAGAGACATGAAGTGACAGAAGGTTGGAGAAACTGCATAATGAGCTCATAACTTTCACTTTTTGTCAAGTATAATTAGAATGATCAAGTCGAGGAGGATGAGATGGTCATGGCATGTAGCACAAATGAGAAGCGGAACACACATACGATGTTGGTGGGAAAGAAATAATATTGAAATGGATTTTAGACAGGTTGGGGTGGTATGGACTGGATTGATCTGGCTCAGGGTAGGGACCAGTGGAGGGCTCTTATGAACATTATATTAGATGGGATTAGATTCAAGTATCTTCTGACGAGTCACATAAATAACCACTGAATCAAAGGCGTAGTTGGGTGGACAATATTAGAATGGATCTTAGAGAGATAAGATGAGATGGTATGGGCTGGACTGATTGATAGGGACCAGTGGAGGGCTCTTGTGAACATGGCAATGAACTTTCAGGTTCCATAAAATGCTGGGAAATTCTTGAGTAGCTGCAGAATTGGCAGCTCCTCCAAAAGGGCTCAGCTCCATGAGTAAGTAAGTAAGTAAGTAATCTTATTAAATTATATGGTGGAGGGGTGGCTTCTTATAATATTTCACGATGACTTGATTCATAAATTATGGAAATGGTAAATAATGCTAAATCCTTGCAGTATTATTGAAAGAAAGTTACAGCTGATCACAGAAAGCTGTTTCTTGGTATACTGTATGTAATGGCACTATCAACTGCACGTTACCCAGCATTGAAAAGCTACATCCAGTGGTGTCTCATCTCTCTCTCTCTCTGATTTTTAGTGTAAGGTGTGATGACCGGCTATATCAAACAATCAAAAGGATTAACTGATTACAGCCCACCTTTCTTATACTGTACATCTGAAGGTATGTCGGCTTTTGACAGATTTTATTCGATTTAATCAGACGGGAAGTCTAAAAATAACTTGATATCTCTCAGCAGTTATCAGTGTTAGCATGAAAAATATAAGTAAATAATGGAATATAATCATGCTAAATGCAGGATGCTTTTGTTGATCTGTTTATTGTTATACAGAAATGAAACTAGAGAAACACCACCAGACTGCAATAAGGGATCACTAAATCAGAGTCTTGATATTAACCGGAAACAAAACAACGAAAAGAGTACCTCTGGAGTTTTAAAGACCTTGTTGCTGAGCCCAAGGAATCTTAAACTTGTAGTGTAATTGTTTTGCACAATGCTTTAATGATAAACAAGTGAAGCATACTTTACAATCCCTTATAATTAAACGACGTTATTCTACTAATGATTGCTACCATTCGACCGAGGTTTGTAAAGTCGACGAAATGCTACCTCTCGATATCGCCCATCATTAAGTCGATATCTACCAATTGCTACTTTCCCTGTCAGTTGCTTTGTGTTGACCGGTGCCGATAACGAAGTACGTCATAGTGCTGCCTCTCTCGGTAGTATACAGAACTCTGTGGTGAATCTCACTGAACCGTGTAGATTCGTTTGACAGTTGAAACGGAGCCGAGACGGCCGAGAAGTTACCAAGCTCTCGGCGAGGACGGAAAAGGAAGCTGTCAGGCAGAGCTGAAAGAAAAACACAGGTGGGAAAAAAGTTGTTAAACAATAACCGATGAGAATGTTTTAGACTTGTTAAATATACTGAAGAAAGTCATTGGTTGTTGTTTGTGACTAAGTTGCTTGTAAAAGAGATTGAACTGAACCGGTGAAACGAAAATTAAAATTTCTCGACATTTAGTGTAGAATATCTACCAAATTTCGTCGAAATTCGTTCATTACTACCGGAAACTAACCATGAAAAATTCGAGGCTTAAGGCCACACAAAACCTAATTCGAGTCATTTTTATGCATTTTATGTGAAGAATACCTAAAATGGGTTCATAATTAGGGGTTCATGTTTGGCCGTCCTCCCATAATTCGTTTCATTTAGGAAAGTACTGAAAGGATTCTTTTATGAACCTTAGCATTCGAAATCAACACTAAACGTCGAGCGAATTTAATTTTGGTAGCTGTATGTTTTATAATTCCTACACTACATTAAGTTGAAATCGAGCTTTATCATTTTTTCCAAAGCAGCTCATCACAAAAAACATGCACTTTTTAGGATTCACAACTTTTTTTTTTTGCGATGTTTTCCAATATAGGATATACTCCACGAAATGTAAGAAAAATTATTGGTGACAGCATTGTGGTAGGTAGGCTTATATGTAAAGTAATAAGCAATGAAACGATGGATATGTATCTGTAGGAAGTAAACTTGAAAGCCAGTGTAGTGTGTAGAATGGTAGAGAACTATTTAGTATATATACATGTACTCCAAAGTGGAGTACATCTAAATTACAGTTATTCATGTATCGTAGCCCCCCCCCCGGTGTGACGGCCTGCTATTGTTTGGGATGCTTATTTCGCAAACACTGTTTGCTCTTTTATCGGTATTCTTTTTTTATTCAGTTGAAGGTGTAATTCATTTATCTTGGAGAATTTTTTCAGTTTCTTGATGATACTGATTGCTGGAATCTTTCGTTTCACGGTTCTTTTCCGTTGTTTCTGGCTACTTCAGCGATATGTTAGGTTAGTGTTTCAACGGACTGTTCCGAGGGATGGCACTCATTTTTATAAGGAATATATGTAGGAATCCTGATCAGTTGATTCAGTGGTTATTTATGTGACTCGTCGGAAGATACGTGAATCTAATCCCAAGGCCTGCAGATCTGGTAGATATTTCGTGATTTTCTTCAGTTTGTAAGATTTGAGGCTTTCACGGCGGTGACTATGAAGAAAGCAGTCTTCTGGGCTTTGGCGCCGTGTATATGTGGTGTTAACCGACGTTTCGGAGGAACGTATCGCCCCCATCTTCAGGGTTGAAGAAAAAGTATAGGTAAATCTGCAAGCGACAACACCGTGAGACACGGTAACCGTGTCTGCGTTACCGTGTCTCACGGTGTTGTCGCTTGCAGATTTACCTGTACTTTTTCTTCAACCCTGAAGATGGGGGCGATACGTTCCTCCGAAACGTCGGTTAACACCACATATACACGGCGCCAAAGCCCAGAAGACTGCTTTCTTCTTTCTTCAGTTTGTTTCACAAATGACATCAACATCACAATTCTTATTAATTTCAATAGTCATGTTTATATGTATATAAGATATTATAAAGATAAGGGTAAAATTAGGTTTTATATTTTATTCTTCGGGATTTATGATGTGGGAAACGTGAAAACAAAGAATTTTAACTGAAGGGGAGGAAGCGTGCTCAGAATATAATCTTCCCTTGTAAGTATGATTTTGTTTTCTTACTGTCATTCCTAATATCCATATGCTGGTATTATGATTCTGCACAACACTCTTGTGACAGGGTGTGAACATATATGTCTACTTGGTTTTCTTTGCATTCAGTTCTGCACCAACCTTACTGTTTCTATATGTAGTGTATAATTTTACCCGAGTAAATCACCATCATCAACACAAAACATATTCTGATATTACCAGGCCAATTCCAGTGCCTCCTCATTGTAGTAATGAGATTACATTCAACACTGTTGTATTGTAACTCAAAATTACAGGCCTGACGGTGACGTAATCTTGAAAACAGACCACAATTGCTACTTTTCCTTTCAGTTCAGCACTACTTATAGTTACTTAGCAGCTGATTCTGTGCCACTAAACCAAATGTTACTGATCAGTGACTGTCGTCTCTGGTTCGTATTCCGAAGTTCCAGAGTTCGCATCTTGTCCACTGCCAATTAACCTAAGTTTTTTCACTGTGCAAATGATGGAATGAAGTCTTGCGCCTACACCCTTTGTATTTAATAATTCGTTGCCAACCTGCCATTCGAATATATATATATATATATATATATATATAAAACTTGTGCAGTTAAGAAAAGCGTCATTAAGTATATAGAATGCAAATGTTATGTTTCTGGACATTACCCAATGTCCTGTTTTTTTTTTAATGCCTTACTGTTTTTATTCAAAACAACGTTTAGGAGACTGCATTCTGTCTCCCTTCGGGTAAACCCTGTTCAGTTGGGCTCAATCGCTAGAGCTAGACCCTATCTCGGCACACCTACACCAGCACAAGACAGGGTATACAAACCAAGCACAGCACAACCATCTGCGAGAGTTAAGACAAAACATTAACACATTAAAACAACTCCACAAGTATGAGGCCTGGCACCTAAGTACTATCAGAATAGAAGCCGTCACTGGAGAGATCAATTCTCTATGTGGTATCAACATATGTACACGAACGTAGGATTTGAGGTTCTCATGGCGGTGGTATGAGAGCTCTGTGGTATGGGATTTAACGCTGTGTAGTCCTTTAAAAATCAACTGACGATTCGGGCTTTGCTTGCTACCTGATTTATGCTGGTTTCTTGTCTGGCTTCTTCTTCGGATGGTTTTCAACAGACTACACGACATTATATCTCACAAGATAGAGCCGAGTTGTCCAAGAATACATCTCCTTCAGTAAATAAACTTACATCAGTCAAATAGTTCATCAACAAATCAGATCAGCCAATTAACTCATAACAGTATTAATGGAACACAGCCAGTTTTCTTATTATCATTGTTGATTCCACCAGCCATCCTTACAAAAATATTAGAGTCTAATAAATACGAACAGAAGAAGCATCTAGAAATAAACCTGGTTTCATTGGTGGACTTGCAGGAGAAGCAAACTACCTCACTCACTCCGCTGTGTTAACTACATGAATCAGGATCATCCTGGGGAAGTTGGTAATCGCTCAACTGACCACGAAATCCCCATTTTACGGGAGGTTCCTTGCCGTCTTCATAACTGCGCACCGCTAGACACTGTCTTGAGCCAGATGAATCCAGGTCACATCCCTAACCTCTGTTTATTTCAGATAAAAGGTAAAGTTGTTCCTGTGCTTAATTAATTAAGCACTACGCCATGAAGGCGTATGGGGAGAGTGAATGTATAGAGCCACATCTTGAACTCGGCAATAGTTGGGAGGTGAGCGGTCGGCTTCACTCCTCGGTCGCTTTAACCCCGGGAAAGGGCCCTCGGTACCCACTGGACAGGAGGCTGAATGGGCCCCCGAACTGGTCTGGACGAGGTGGAGAAGAGAAAATTCTTGACCCTACCGGGACTCGGAACTCCGTCCCCGCGGTCGTCCAGCGCGTAGCCAGTCCCTATACCAACTATGATATCCCGGCCCCTAAAGTCAAGAAGTAGCCATACTACGGCCCTGGGATCGACTCAGCCTCTAACAGAAACGAGTACCACGAATCTTCCTGGGGGGGTAAAGGGCGGCAGGTTCGTAAGCCTGACAACCTTGCAGGGATAGCTTTACATTTTTACATCATGGGACCATCATCAGGCAGTTTTATGATCTTACTGATCGTTATTGAGTTCCTAAATATGGATCCATATTTAGTGCAACACGTCCATGGTATAAAGTTATGCCTAAGTTAGAATGTAAGAATTACAATATTGACCTTCTCAAAAATATTAAGAGTATACAAAGAATTTTTATCAAAATTTTGTATTAAAAGTGTGTATGAAAAGTATTTTCGTGTATTGTTTATCGAAGATGAATAATATGTCGGAACGATATTATTTTACGAGATAAAACCTTGGGAATACAACTGAAAGTTATACAATTAAAACACAAAAATATTAAAATTATCAGAACAAATATTAAGATTATGGAATATGGTGTTAAAAGTTCTCATGTAATGTTCAGAATTATCAATGGAAATACTATTGGAAGCTGCGTTGTTGAGCGTTTTTCAAGGTGGATGTTATTACGCCCGAGGTTGTGCTGTTGGATATTATTGTTATGGCTGTTACGGTGTGTTAATATTCATGCAGTATACGTCTTGGGTACAGGTTGTAAGTTATTACTGCCGTTAGTGTACATGTGTGTTTTTTTTATTGCTAGTGGGGTGGGACTAAGTCCCTTGTTACTGCGGCCACTTCTGGCCTATTGTACCAGCCCCAGATGATAGGTGAGGGTGATTGTGGAGCAGTTGGTGGAATGAAGATTGGCAGGGGAAACCGAAGTACTCGGAGAAAACCTGCCTCAGCTCCACTTTACCCACCACAAATCCCACTTGATCAGACCCGGGATCGAACCCGGGCCGCCGCAGTGGGAAACCAGCGACTAACCGCTTGAGCTATGGCGCGGCCTTATATTTGGGTTACTTTCTGTATGGACGTTGTGTATGTCGTAGGTCGGTTCAAGGTGGATCCATTTTAATACTGTACCCTCATTTACGTTAAGTTTCCAAGTGGTCTCTCTTTTGCCATAAAGCTTCAAAACAGATTTTCTTTTTAGCCTACATCTCTTATTTCTAAATGTTCCGCCTCATCCTCATCTGGATTTTGCTGGGAATTGTGCGAGGAAGTGAACCCCCTCATCGTTATGCAGTCTCTCTACAAAAATAAAAAATCCTAAATCATGACTTTCGTATGCACAATATATTTTTAATGTTTCACTATTCTGTGGGCTCGCCGTGATGATATTTGAAGCTTTATATCATGCTGTTATTCAGTAAGGTCATTCGCAGGGCTAAGCGCAAGAAACATAATATGGGGTGATGATACGAG